TTCTCCTGCCTCAGCCTCCCAAGTAGCCGGGACAACAGGTGCACGCCACCACACTCGGCTAATTTTTTGTATTTTAGTAGAGACGTGATTTCACCGTATTGCCCAAACTGGTCTTGAACTCCAGAGCTCAGGCAATCCACCTGCCTCGGCCTCCCAAAGTGCTAGGATTATAGGCATGAGCCACTGGGCCCGGTCAATTTTTGTATTTTATGTAGAGACAGGGTTTTGCCATGTTGCCCAGGCTGGTCTTGAACTCCTGAGCTCAAGGGATCTGCCTGCTTTGGTCTTACACAGTGCTAGGATTATAGGTGTGAGCCACCACATCCAGCTGAAAAAATTCTTGAAGAAAATTAAAAGTGCTACTCTAGTGAAAACATGTATGATAAGAAAGCAAAACAGCCTTATTGCTGACATGGATAAAGTTTTAACAGTATGGATAGATCAAATCAGCCATGATACACACTGATCCCAAGCCTAATCCAGAGCAAGGCCCTAACCCTCTTCAATTCTATGAAGGCTGAGAGAGGTGAAGAAGCTGCAGAAGAGAAGACTGAAGCTAGCAGAGATTGGTTCATGAAGTTTAAGGAAGAAAAATCCATCTCCTTAACATTAAAATGCAAGACGAAGCAGCAAGTGCTGATGGACAAGCTATAGCAAGTTACCCAGAAGATCTAGCTAAGATCACTGATGAAGGTGGCTACACTAAACAACAGATTTTCAATGTAGATGAAACTGCCTTCTATTGAAAGAAGATGCCGGGCAGGCGTGGTGGCTCATGCCTGTAATCCTAGCACTTTGGAAGTCTGAGGCGGGTGGATTACAAGGTCAGGAGTTCGAGACCAGCCCGGCCAATATGGTGAAACTCCATCTCTACTACTAATACAAACATTAGCCGGGTGTGGTGGTGTGCGCCTATAGTCCCAGCTACTCGGGAGGCTGAGGCAGGAGAATTGCTTGAACCTGGGAGGTGGAGGTTGTGGTGATCCGAGATTGCGCCACTGCACTCCAGCCTGGGCCACAGAGCAAGACTCAGTCTCAAAAGAAAAAAAAAAAAAAAAAAGATGCCGCCTAGGACTTTCATAGCCAGAGAAGAGAAGTCAATGCCTGGCTTCAAAGGACAAGCTAACTCTCTCTTTAGGGCTAATGCAGCTGGTGACTTTAAGTTGAAGCCAATGCTCATTTACCATTCTAAAAATCCTAGGGCCCTTAAGAATTATGCTGAATCTACTCTGCCTGTGCTCTATAAATGGAACAACAAAGCCTAGATGACAGTACATCGGTTTACAGCATGGTTTCCTGAATATTTTAAACCCACTGTTGAAATCTAGTACTCAGAATGAAAGATTCCTTTTCAAAACATTTCTGCTCACTGGTAATGCATCTAAGCCAAGAGCTCTGATGGAGATGAACAAGGAGCTTAATGTTGTTTTCATGCCTACTAACATAACATCCATTTTGCAGCCCACAGATCAAAAAGTAATTCAACTTTCAAGCATTGCTATTTAAGAAATATATTCTGTAAGGCTATAGCTGTCATATAGATAGTGATTTCTCTAATGGATCTAGGAAAGCAAATGAAAACCTCCTGGAAATAATTTACCATCTTGGATGCCATTAAGAATACTGGTGATTCATGGGAGGAGGTCAAAATATCAACATTAACATGAGTTTGGAAGAAGTTGATTCCCCTCTTGTGGGCTTTCAAGACTTCAAGGGAGGAAGTAACTGCAAACGCGACACAAAATAGTATGAGAAGCAGGCCGGGCGCGGTGGCTCACGCCTGTAATCCCAGAACTTTGGGTGGCTGAGGCGGGTGGATCACTTGAGGCCAGGAGTTTGAGACTAGCCTGGTCAACATGGTGAAACCCATCTTTACTAAAATACAAAAAATTAGCCAGGCGTGGTGCTGTGTGACTGTAATCCCAGCTACTCTGGAGGCTGAGGTGGGAGAATTGCTTGAATCCGGGAGGCAGAGGTTGCAGTGAGCCGAGATCATGCCATTGCACTCCAGCCCTGGGTAACAGAGCGAGACTTTGTCTCAGAAAAAAAAAAAAAAAAAAGAAATAGTAAGAGAACTAGAAATAGAAATGGAACAGGAGGATGTGACAGAATTACTGCAATCTCAAGATAAAACCTGAACAGATGAGGAGTTGCTTCTTATAGATGAGCAAAGTGGTTTCTTGAGATGAAATCTACTCCTGGTGAAGATGCTGTGAACATTATTGAAATGATAAAAAAAGATTTAGACTATGACATAAACTTAGTTGATAAAGCAGTGGCTGGATTCGGGAGAATTGACTCAAATTTTGAAAGAAGTTGTACTGTGGTTAAAATGCTATCAAACAGCATCACATGTTACAGAGAACTCTTTCATGAAAGGAAGAGTAGATTGATGTGGCAAACTTAACGGTCTTATTTTACAAAATTGCCATGGCCAGCCCAACCTTCAGCAATAACCACCCTGATCTGTCAGCAGCTATCAACACTGAGGCAAGATTCTCCACTAGCAAAAAGATTACGACTCGCTGGCCGGGCGCGGTGGCTCAAGTGTATAATCCCAGCACTTTGGGAGGCTGAGGCAGGCGGATCACGAGGTCAGGAGATCGAAACCATCCTGGTTAACATGGTGAAACCTTGTCTCTACTAAAAATACAAAAAATTAGCCGGGCATGGTGGCAGGCACCTGTAGTCCCAGCCATTCGGGAGGCTGAGGTAGGAGAGTAGCATGAACTCAGGAGGCGGAGCTTGCAGTGAGCCAAGATCGCACCACTGCACTCCAGCCTGGGCAACAGTGTGAGACTCGCTGAAGGTTCAGATAATTGTTGGCTTATATACACTGAGAAACCAAAAAATGTGTGTGACTTGCTTTATTGTCATGATCTGGAACCAAATCTGGAACATCTTCAAGGTATGCCTATATTGTGTTGTACAGGGAGAAAAGCAGGGGAACAAATGAAACTGCAGAACACACATGTAAAGATAAAACTTTGTTTAAGGGAATAATGACAGAGAAACTACACGGGAGCTTTGGGACTTACAGTGCTCAAAGGAAAAGTCTGATAAAAGCTACAGTCACCCAATAACTTAGAAATAAAGTATGAAGTTAAGTTTGGATCCAAGAATAATTTATTTATGGCTAAAGAGCAAATGGTCCAAAAGTTTTGTGTATACTGTATCCAAGGCTCACTCATTTCCTTATTCCTCGTGTGAGAGAGAGGAGTTCACTCTTACCTGTAAGAAAGGGTATCAAGCCCACTGATACTTGTATTTGTGTGTGTGTGTGTATGTGTGGGTGTGTCTATGCCTCAAACAAGCACCAGCTTCTTAACCAGAAACCTGCAAAGGAAGGGCAAACATTAAATCCTCACTCCACCATCATACATACCTTGTTCAGCACAGAGCTCACAAGGGCTGAGGGACCCAACACAGAGTCATCTAAGGAGTCCAGAGAAGAACGCACCCGTAGAAAGGCCAGGCCAAAGGACTGATGACGCGTGAAGGGTTGGGAGCAGGTCAGGCGAAGTCGATCCCATAACTCTCCTGAGGTTGGAGCCAGGAAATCAACTCAAGGGAAAAAGAGAAAGAAAATAAGTGGGGAATGGAAATGCATAAATGGGAGAAAAAGAGGACGAAAAGGTCAATACTAAGGAAAGGAGCTATAGAGAGTAACCTCCAACAAAAGGAAGAAGGAGGTCATCAGTAAATGTCCCCTTAGGCTCAGGTGCTCAGGGTATGGTAATGCCAAGCAGGCCAGTCAGGGCATTCTCATATCCAGTCCCTCGCCTTCTCGTCATCATTCCTCTGTCACAGTTCCACACCATTCTCAGCATGAATTCTATTCCTTCTCCAGGGACCTCATCAATATCTCATTTTAAGAAGTTACCTGCAGAGTAAGGGCCCAGTGGATTACCTGAGATATATATCAACCCTTCCTGGATCATAAGACTTCAACCTCCCTCACACCACCACCACGTGCTCTACATGCTCACAGTATCACATTCCGGTATCACAAACCCTCCACATCTTTAGTTCCTAACACTGTCCAGTCAGTACTTCACTTCCTCCAAATCATATGCCCCTCCAATGTCACTCTTCCTTTACAACATTACAAATACTTCCAACTTAAAAACAGACAAATCCTTATGAGACTGTACATTCCTAGAGGATAGGAATCAGATCTTATGTTTTTCTGTAGTGCCTAGTGAACAGAGATTTGCATAAACAGAATTCAGTAAACATTATATACTATATAACTATAACCACTATGTAGCCTTCCATCACTTACATAAACATCTATCAGCCGGCGTGGTGGCTCACACCTGTAATCCCAGCACTCTGGGAGGCCGAGGCGGGCGGATCACAAGGTCAGGAGATCGAGACCATCCTGGCTAACAGGGTGAAACCCCGTCTCTACTAAAAATACAAAAAAAAAGCCAGGCGTGGTGGTGGGCGCCTGTAGTCCCAGCTACTTGGGAGGCTGAGGCAGGAGAATGGTGTGAACCCGGAAGGCGGAGCTTGCAGTGAGCCGA